GGAGGAGGAGGGGGCCGCTCCCGGGATGTCTGCTGCTCCCCGGCCGCCGCGCCCCGCTCCTTCCGCGGCGGCAGCACCCGCACCGGGCTCCGCCGCAGCGCCCGCACCCCTCGCCGCCCCACCGCTTCCCCCGGCCCGCCGGGCCTCAACAACGAACGACCCCAACCCTTCGCCAATTTCCCCACCGCCGCCATTTTGCGGTGTCACCGCCGAGGCGCCGGGCGCGCCGCGTGACGTCAGCGCTCCGCCATGGCGGCTCGGCGGGCGCTGCACTTCGTCTTCAAAGTGGGCGACCGCGGCCGGACCGCCCGCTTCTACCGCGACCTGCTGGGCATGAGGGTGAGCGGAGCGGAGCGGCGGGCCGGGGAGGGGGGGAAGGGGGGGGGGGGGGGGGGGGGGGGGAGGCGGGGGTTGTCGCCCACCTCAGCCGCGGGGCTGAGGGAGAACGGGGGCTTCTCCGCTGGGCCGCTTCCCCCCGGCCTCCCTCGTCGGCGGGTCTCTAAGCCGGGGTGACGACTGCTGAGGTGACGGGAGGGGTACGCGCCGCCTGGGTGCTGACCTCATTCTCGCCCATTCCTAAGGTGCTGAGGCACGAGGAGTTCGAGGAGGGCTGCAAGGCCAGCTGCAACGGGTGAGTGGTGTCCCTGGGGCCTGCCCGGGCCTTCGTGTCTCATAAATCTGCCGCTGTTTTAGAGGTAAAACATGTTTTTTTAAGTAATTCCCGTGGAATCAACAGCTCCCCTTTTTGTGCAGGTATGGTGTTGACATGGAAGCGCGAGCGTTGCTGTATTACACCTGTAGACTGATACTGAACTTCGTAAAATTCTTTCTAAACTTTCCTGGAATTACAGTCAGTTACACTGGCTTTTTTGCAGACACGGGGCTGGCTGGGGTCTTGAGTTAAAAATCCCTCTTGGTAGCCCCAAAGGCTTTTGTCTTTCTTCACGAATGAAAGAAATCTTACAATCGAGTGCCCAACCGCTTTTCCTACTCTGCAATAAGGAAGCACTCATATAATTCCAGCTAATGAGCGGCTTGTGCTCTTAACATGCGAGCTGTTAAGAAGGAAGTGGAATTGCCTTCTGTTGCATGGTCGTGAATGACAGCCCGAGGTCAAAACTACTGACCAAGGGGACGCAGGTCTGCTGTGTGCTGAGCTGCAATGAGAATTCTCTATAGGTATCAGCTCCTACTTGGTGGGAGGTTACTGGATTACCTGTGCCCTTTGTTTACTCTAGAAATGCAATTCTTCCTTGAAACGCTAATACTTGCAGTCCTTGATGTTTATTTCTAATACTGACGACAACTAAATCTGGATGTTCCAGCCCTTATGATGGCAAATGGAGCAAAACGATGGTGGGCTATGGGCCAGAAGACAATCACTTTGTTGCAGAATTGACTTACAATTATGGTATTGGAGAATATCACCTGGGCAATGACTTTCTGGTAAGTGCCACACTTAGCAGCAAAATCTTTCTTCTTAAGATAAGCTTTTTTATTTTTACGATGAGGATATAGCTTGTACCAGTTGCTTTTTTATGCTGTTTGGTTCCTTAAACACTTTTTATTCTTGCTTTTGTAGTTGTTTCCAAGTTGGAAGAGCAGGAACTAGTGCTCGCTTAAGATCCAGGAAACACTTCCTTGAGCACCTTCCAATTCAGTTGCTGTGTGTGTAGGACAGCTGGTATTTGCTGGCAGATCTAATGTGGAATGGTTAGCTAAGAAGGATCTTGCTGTAGGAAAACACTCTTTTGTTTGTTACTACTTATTTGTTATTTACTAGCTGACAGCCAATGAAGATCTCTTGTTTCATCTATGAATACGTGTAATGTGTTTGCTTGTTGTTTCCCCTGAGCTAATATTCTTCCCCTGATTTGCGGGGTGTCAGGGCACAGCCGCTTGGAGCCACAGATGTCTGCCTAACCTGGTAGAACAGTTAGGAACTCAGTTTTCTGCTTCTGTACAATGCGCTGAATCAGAGTTTTAAATTCTTTTTGCTTTTAATTTCCCTTTGTTGTGAAAGAAGGGTAGATTAATGCAGTCCAAATATATGCGGGATGCGCAGTAAGACTAAGGTTATTTTATAGGAGCAAGGTACCTGGTTCTCAGGAGATCATATGGTCCATCTGTTACAAAAAGTAATCTCATTTGTTTCTGGTCATTTGTAGAGGCAGACTCTTGAAAGGTAGGAATTACACACCATCCACCCTGTGAATTTTGTACATGTCTGTTCTGTTCTCACTAGGGCTTAACACTTGTGTCCAGCCAGGCTGTGAGCAATGCTAAGAAGATGGGGTGGCCCCTCAAAGAAGTCACAACTGGTATTTTTGAAGCTGAAGCCCCAGGGGGATACAAGTTCTACTTGGAAGACAAGGAACAGCTCAAGCAAGGTGAAACTTACACACTCGCTCTTACTGTTGTTCAAACCAGATTGATGAGTGGGATATTAGAATGGGCTGTGCATTTGTCTCGACAGCATTTTATGAGACAGAGCGTGGTTTTGTTCTTTCTTTGTTACTTTCCTTGTCAAGAATATACATGGTAGTTTTAAACTCAGATGTACTTGTAACTAATTTCAAATTATTGCAATCTTACAGATCCTGTGCTAAAGGTAACCTTGGGTGTCTCCGATCTGCATAAGTCTGTTAACTACTGGTCTGATTTGCTTGGGATGAAAATATACGAGAAGGATGAGGAAAAACAAAGAGTTTTGCTAGGCTATGCGGATAACCAGGTTAGTCCTTAGAAAACTTTCCGGTTCTGGTCTTTTAAGAGTTGCATCTCATCATAGAAACCTCTCATTTCGTGAGAACAAATCTTAAAGGGAAAAAAACCTCTTAATTAAAGCAACTGTGCACTTAATTCTGTGCATGTTAATTAAAGCTTGTGTACACTTAACTGCATTTAAAAAAAAAAAAAAAAAAGCTGTGGTTTGCTTTGGTAATTCTGGCTTGTTGGGAAATATGCGTATGGGTGATGTTGAAATCATCCACATCTGTGAAAAGCTGGAGCGCATATAGCACTGGGAACAGCGTCCTGCAAGTCAGGCTTTCTTTTTTCCTCTTTCAGTGTAAGTTGGAGTTAAAGACGGTTGGAGGACCGGTGGATCACGGGACAGCGTTTGGGCGGATTGCTTTCTCCTGTGCAAAGGAAGAGGTAACAATCATGTTTCCCTTACCTCTTTCGTTACCCAGAGCTGACTAGTGGGAAGTTAATTTCTAGTATTAGCAAAATATCTCAGATGTGAACAAAATAATACTGAGCAGATGCTTTGTTTGTATTTCTTGCAGTGGGAATGCAGTGGAGTTGTGGGTAATGGGGGAACTGTGGATGAGAACAGCCTGAATGCATCTGATCTTCATCTGAGTGGGGTTCATTTTTGTGTGTTTTCTGTTTAAGTTGCCAAACATTGAAGCACTGATGAAAAAGGAGAATCAGAAAATTTTAACACCTCTGGTTAGCTTGGACACACCTGGCAAAGCCACAGTGCAAGTGATTATTTTGGCTGATCCTGTGAGTAATATTGAAAATAGTGGTTAAATTAAATTTAAATTTCTCTCTGCCATTTATCTAACTTACCTGCTCTTAAACTTGGTTTAGGATGGCCATGAAATCTGTTTTGTGGGAGATGAAGCATTTAGAGATCTGTCCAAGGTGGACCCGAACGGTGACAAATTGTTAGATGATGTAAGTAATGCTGTCTGCATGTTCGTTTTCTTCCTGATTACAGATACCTGTAGAATCTAATTTTCGTTCCTTGTGGAGTTTTTCTGAGAACCAAATCGCACAGTCTTGCTAATAAAAACAAGTCAATTTTTAAAGTTCACTTAGCGTCCCGGCTAGGGTTTTCCAGCCTCCCTTGGGGCAGCTGGGTGGTGGTGTGTCTTGCTGGACACGTCAACAGCACTTTGGTGTAAGTTACTACAGAAAATGATTTGTGAGCTGCAGTAACGTCAGTGCAGCTGGACATCCTCCCAAGGCAGAGGGGCTCTGGTATGGAGCATGAGCTGTGGGAAGGCTGTGTTTAAACTATCCTGTTTTGCCTTTGCATTACCAGATCATCTATATATTTGCTGCAGCAGAGAACATTGGTTTTCAGTGTGTGTTTTCCTTAATAGTACGTAAAAAATAATTTATCCATCAGAACAGCTTTCCTCCAAATTAGAAAGGGTCCTTGTGATAAGTCTGCGTTTGTGGTGAGTGTGAGCAGCCGGGCGTCTGGCGACTCGGCTGCTGTTCTGAACATGTTGTCGCTTTTCTTTGTGCAGGCCATGGCGGCGGACGACAGTGACAAATGGTTTGCTGCGCAGAAAATGAAGAAGGCTTCTGCGTAGCTGGAGAAAAGGACTGGACTGCTCGTTCGTGCCTTGGTTTTCATCTGAACGAAATGCCAATTCTATGTAGCATGTTGCATTACCCCTTCCAGTAAGAGGGTGCTGTAATGTCCTGTGCTGGTTGGTTTTTCTGATTTAAGTTTGTGTCTCTTACTGCTACTCTGTCCTTTAAAGCAAATAGCATGTTCTCCTTCAAAAAAATTAGGTTGTGCAGTAAGAGCGGGTTGAGCACGTGGCTTCAAAAACAGGGGCCAGCAGTTAAGAGGAAAACCTCACATTTCTGTCGTCTTGTTATACTTGAAAAAGAGCTTGCTAGATTCATTACATTATCTAATTCTCTACCTAAGTGGCTTTAGCCGTCCTGGATTTGCAGCTTAGAGAAGAGAATTTCAGGTAGCTGTGGCTGTGAGTATTGCAGGTAACCCACTTCAGTGATGAAGTGTCGGGCCAAAGGGAAGGGCTGCATACGGAGAACTCGCAGGTCAGCTATCGTAGTGCATTCCTGTTTATTGGGAACAGCAAAATTACCTTGCTAAAGCATGTGAATATTCTAGTCTGGAACAAACCCTATTTTCATTCCAAGATGTTTCCCCAGCTTTTCTCACTGGGGTCACGTTATTGATGTGGTGGTTTCCACCCCTTACCAAGGAGCCTTCCACATTCCAGGTGGGAGCCGGGGCCATGCTTCAGGGTGTGTAGCAGCGCTGCTTTGTCTGCTGAGGTGCCGGGAGGCAGCTTGAAATAAGTGTATCACGGTTTTGCAATTAGCTTTTGATGAGAAATTGCTTTTAGAAGTAACAGCTCAGGGTTTATTCTGTTGGAATGAAGTCGCTCTGCTTTTGCTGGTGGAATAAGGGCTGGGAATACAGGGGGTAATTATCAACATTGTCCATGTCAGGCCTGCTGCCTGGTTTGTAACCTTTCTTGATGAAAACCTTAAGTAAGTTTCACAGAGAAAAGGAGGCAAAATCAGCAGCGTTGGCAGTCGCGGAGGCACGTCGGCGCTTGTAGCGAATATTCTGAGTTTAAACAGGAAAAATTCCTCGCCGTGATTTTGTTGTTCGAGCTTTTTGCTTCAAGTTTGGTGATGAATTGGAATCGTGTACCCATCGAGTTAAGAACGTCACGTGTAAACTGCGCCCCTGAAACCGGCGCTGCCGCTTGCCGGTGTCACCCTTACACGAATAAAAGTGATTCGGGAGGATGGTTTGAGTGCCTGCCTTCCCGCTGCCCGGCACGGCTCCCCGCCGAAGTTTCCTCTCCTTTTTAATTGGGTTCTCTCCATTTTCGTGCGCGCAAATTAATCCCGGGAAGGGGACCGGGGGCGGGGGGGCGGGCAGGCGGCGGCGCTACCGCCGGGGCGCCAGGGGGCGCTGCGGGAGGGGGTGGGGCTGCGGGCGCTGACGTCAGAGCGCGGCACCCGGCGGTGGGTCACGCCGCCGCCATGGAGCCCGGTGGGTGCGGGACGGGACGGGACGGGAGGGGACGGGGGGCGACGGGGACCGGGGACGGGGACGGGGGGGTCGGACCGGTCCGAGGTAACGGTGTCTCCGCGCAGGACCGTGGGGCGTGTGCGAGGAGACGGCCATCCTGCACGGCGGGTTCCTGCTGGCCGCCCGGCTGACCCAGCCGCGGCCGCTGCGGGAGCTGCGCAAAACCGACTGGCCACGCGTGGGACCCCCCATCACCGACGCCCTGGGGGAGATCGGGGCCCGCTGCCCTTCGCCGCTGCAGCACAGCCTTTGGAAGAAGGAAGCCGTGGCCATCGTCTGGGCTAAAGTCCTGCTGCCGGGCCCGCCGGCCGCCTCGCTGGACCAGGGATGGAAGGAGGACGACTTCTTCTCCGTGGGCAGGATGATCCCCGACGTTAATCACACCGTCCTCTTCGAGCTGGTCAAGGCTCTTGGCGTGCCCCGGCTCTTCGTGGAGCTGCTGCTGGCGCTGCCTCGGGATTTGCGGTGGAGCCAGCTGGAGCGCTTGGTGGAGTACGTCGCCAGCGAGACGTCCCCGTCGGACATCAGGTTCTTCTTGGACGTGTGGTGGGAGGTGATGAAACACAAGGAGGGACGGGAGGACGCAACAGTCTCTGCGTTCAGCACTCTCATCCGTCAGCATGGGTGTGAGTCCTCTCTGGATGATGGTCTCCAGCCCCCAAAGAGGTTCAAGGGTGACCCTGGCTCTCTGAACGGCTCCCCCGCTGCCACCAGCCAGCTCATGGTCCTGATAGAGGGGTTAAAGCAAACCTACAGGAGCATCGCCCTGCCCCGCATGAGGTGCTATGCCTTGGCCAACCTGGTGGAGCTGCTGTCTGCGTTCACCGAGCTAAAGCCAGAGGGCAGCCCCCTCCCTGTCGCAGAATACCTGGACAAGGTCAGCTCTGTGGTCAGCCTCTGGACCAGCGACACCGAAAGCCAGTTCCACCACAGGGGGCTGGACGAGAAGGTGAAGGAAGCAGAGAGAAGCATGAGCCTCTTGTCCGTGGCCAAGCTCTCTCGTGAGGAGCTCTTTGTTGGCTTGGACCTTCTCTGCAGCTTGTTGCATGCCTGGGGAGAAGAGCTGCAGGGCACCCTGAACGGCTCTGAGGAGCTGTGCTATGAGAGCTACCGGCTCCTGGACGCTCTTACCACCTTTGGGAAGAACCTGGATTGCTTCTCAGAGACTAGAGACCTGGGTGAAGATGAGACACGCGTCGTGTTAGAGCTGACACAGATCACCAAGGACTTTCTCAAGGAGATCAGTGCCAGCCTGAAGAGCAAGGATTTGGATGCCAGCCTTATGTCTTCAGTTGCCATGACAATCATTGGGCAAAAGCTGGACCGGCACGTGGAGATGTGCTCTGTTTTTGCATCTGAAAAGACCTGGGCCTTTTCAAAGGACTGGGTTGACTGTCTTGTGAAAAGCAAAGCTCTCTTCCAGAAACCAGAGCTAGTTTTGAAATTACTGGAGACACTGGTGAACTTTGCCATGTTCCACCAAGACAAGGAGGCCCGAGAGCTGCAGATGCAAGTGACCAAAGCCATCGTGGAGTGTTACACTGAGCTTTCATTAACCGACAAAAACAAAGTGATCTCGGACGTCCTGACGTCCTGGGGCGGACCAGGTCTGTCCCTGAGCTTGCAAGTTGTCGCGGAGGGGTTCCAGGAGGATCTGAACGTGACTTTCAACCAGATCACAAAGAGCGTATCTGATGAAGGCCTGGCCAGGGCTGTGGCTTCTGTAGCCAGGCTCATGCTGCTGTACCCCGAGGCCACAGTGAAGCAGGTTTGTAATCTTGCTGTAGTCAACCTAGGAGCACACCAGTTCCTTGCACAAATCCTCTGCTCCTTCCCAGCGCTGAGCTTCCTGGAGACCCACGATGATCCAGGCAGGCCGTGCAGCCTGGTGGTGAGGTGTCTGGAGGAGGCAGTATGGGGGAGGCTTTCCACTGCGAGGGAAGAGGAGCAGTTCCTTGAGTTCCTGGCCTTTCTCATGCAGCCAAGTTCAGGCGTCCCGCTTGTGTCATCTGCAGAGGTGACCAAAGCCTTCGTCCTTCCCTATTTGAAGTCAGACTCTGCTGAAATTGAGCTGAGCCTGCAGATCCTCAGTAAGGTTTTGGGGATACAGTCCTGTCCAGAAGAGCACTGGATCAAGTCCTGTCACCCGTTCCCGCTTCTCCTCAGCCTCTGCAAGCTTCTAGATGGTTACACAAAGTACTGGCATCAGCCTAGGGACCAGCTCTTCCCTTCACTGGAGACCAAAGACCTGATACTGAACATCCTCTGCCAGCTCTGTGAGGTGGTAAGACCAGAAACTGTCCCCTCACCTGAGCTGTGGGTCCAGTCGGTGGCTTGGCTTCACAGGAAGGTGGCATCACTGGACTGGACCGTCAGTCTCCGGCTGAAGAAGCTTTATGGAGACCACTTCAAGAATGAGGTTCCAGCAACGCTGTTTGAGATATGCACGCTTCCTGAGAACGAGTGGACGTCCCAGCCTTTGCCGGCTTATGGACCGGGCAGCGGGCTCCTGGCATGGATGGAGTGCTGCTGCGTGTCCACAGTGCTCAGGGATACGATGCTGACGCTCCTCACGGTCAACGTGGACAACCCTGAAGAAGTGAACCTTTTCAGCAAAGGCTTCCTGGTGGCCCTCATTCAGGTCCTCCCTTGGTGCAGCCACAGCGAATGGAAGAGGCTCGCGCACGTGGTCGAAAACCTGCTGCAGAGGGAAGTCTTGCACGTGCCGTACACGCTGGAGTATGTGCAGTACATGCCCTTGCTCAACCTCCGGCCGTTTGCCTGCTACCTCCAGTTCTCTGTGCTCTTCCTACGGGGCTTCCAGCTCCTCTGCAGCTCCAGCTGTTCCACCTGGCTGCCGGCAGAGGCTTGGCTCCACGTGGTCCAGCTGTACTGCGGCAGCGTGACGGACCTGCTGGGCTCCGTCAAGACCACCGCAGGACCCCCCTCGCACCCCGCTGAGGACGGGACCTCCACGCAGGAGGTGTCCTTCATCTGCATCCAGATGTTCTGTCACCTGCTGCATGTCGCTGCCATGCTGCCAGAGAAGGGATGCAGCGAGCCACTGGTGGTGGTGGCGTTGGAGATCCTCTCGCAGTACGAGACGTTCAGCAGCGCTGATACGTCCCCCAGCAACACGCTGCGGAGAGCCAACGAGAGGCACTTCCTAGAGTCCATTACGGACAACGTCAGTGACGAGGTGCTGCGTGGCACCCTTCTGCAGAAGCTCAGCAAGCTGGGAGCCTGCTCGGCCAGGGAGCCAGCTTGAGAAGCTGGAGAGGGTGACAGAGGAGAGTGCTGACCCTGCCTCAGGGGACCCCTTACATGGAAAGTTGTAAGATCTATAATAAACCCTATCTATTTTTCTCTTTTGAACTTACTTCGCCCCTCCTGTGTTTTCTTCCAACCTAAGCAGTGAAGGGGCTGTGTAGAGAGTGGTTATTCCTACACATCTTTAAGTTTCCAGCGGGAATAGCTGTGGACACAACCGTTCCTGAGCCGAGCTGCTGGTCCTGTGGCTCCAGCCTTGCCTGTTGGTGATCTGGATTTATACAGAGAGCCCGGCAGCCTCTGGCATCAGGGAAATCATTTCCCTCCGGCTCCCCTGCCGCCAGTCCTCTCCTAGTTGTGGGCGGATTGCTGGGTTCACCATGTGCTGCCAGAGGCTGGGAAGCAAGTCGGGTGAGTTTGGACAGGCAGGAACCTTTGGAAATACATGTGCGTTGCTCCTGCCTGGCGGTGGGGGTGCAACACTAACCCCATGTGTTAACATCCCCCACCCAGAAATGAATGGCACATGGGAGAGACACCCAGTGGTGTGACTCAGAAAGGAAATCTTTATTAGTCTCCTGATAGTAAATACGGCAGTGTTAGTGCAAACTGAGATGCCTCATTGGTGGTTGGTTTTTTTTTTTTTTGGTCCTTACGTAAGGCATATTATTTGCAATGAAAACAGTGAGATACAAACATCTGTAACAGGTTGCAAGCAGTTTATAACATCAGCTGGTCTCGATCGTTAACGTAACAGTAGTGTTTCTGCAATAACTGACCGCGTGTTGGAAGAGGCCCTTTATTTTACTCTTTCCAGAATACAGCTGTGGCTGGGACAAGATCCAACACCCAAAAGAACCAGGTCTCCCAGAGCTCAGGCGTGTTTTTAGCCAGAAGGAAAGGCACGAGTGGCTGCAGGGGGGGCTACTGGGGCCACACTGGTGCAGTACCTGCCCTGGAGCAGGGGACCCCCAGGCAAGTGTGGGAGGCTGCAGGGAGGAGGTGGCTGCCCTGGTTCACGCTGGCTGCAGGGAAGGAACTGAACTGCTGCTGACTTGCACGTACCCGCAAGGCTTGTGAATCCTATGGTGCAGGGCGGGCTGGGAAGCCTGTACCCGTTCTGCTGTGACTGACGGTGGAAATGGGCTGAACTGGTGAAGGACACAGCTTGGCGCCCTGCTCTGGGGTTGCTGGTTCCTCTTCCACTGACCCGGTTCCTTCTCTGCCAGCCCCTGGCAGATTTCACCTCGTGGGGGACTGGGATGGGGCAGGAGGGATGGACTGTACGACCGGAGCTCGGGCTGTACTGGTACCCACAGGGTGCTGCCAGGGTTGCTGGTGTCGGCTGGAGGGAGGGCAGGGCAGCGTGTGCCATTCGGGCTTTCGGATACCCACTGCGGGGATGCGGGGCAGATAGAAGGAGCTGCAGTTAGGGGAGGGGGTTGAAAGTTGCATCCCCTGCCAACAAAGGGCTCTGCATAGTGCCCAGAGACAGGGACTTAGCAGTCTCCTGTCCTCATCCTGCCCTTCAGCCTTGGGCGCTCTGCCCTGCCAGCATCGCTCTGAGACAGCGTAACTGTTCCTCTAGCCTGGTGTGAGCTTCTCTTCGCCCCAGCCTGCTGGGGACACCAGAGCCACCCTCGCCTGGGACTGTCAGCCACAGACACCAGCAATTGTAGTGAAAAGCACCTTTGGGTTGAGTGGAGTCTTAAATGAGTCTGAGCCCAGCAGGAGTGGGAGGTAAGAGGCTGAATGCAGCTGTAGCGTAGAGGCGAAGTCGGTAAAGGTCAGGAACAGGCTGTGCAGCACCGTGCCGGGGCCTGGCTCTGCTCTCAGCTGGAGGCTGTAAACCAGAGCGAGTCGGGGCTGCGGCAGATTCGGCACGCATCTCCCCCAGTCCCCGGTGCTGCTGCGTGGGGCTGGGCACGTTCCAGCATCACCTCCGCTGCTGCCTCCGGGGCCGCAAGCTCCTTCGTGCCTTGCCAAGCTCAGTGCCGGTATCTGGCGTCAGCCCTTGTAACAAACCCCTCTCTTGTAACTGTTAGTTCAGTGCCAGTATTGAATCCCAGAAGGAATGTCGTACTTATGGGCTGGCTCCTATCCCAGCTCCCACTGGTGGGAGGACACAAGCCACTGGAGCGGTGTGGGAAGAAAGCCTTCCTAGCCCAGGCTGGCGCTGCCTGGCACAGCGGTGGAGACGGAGAGGCTGCTTCCAGCTAAAAAAGCCCGATGGCATCGCTGCTTCCGCTGCTCTGCTCCCGCGCTGGTCCCCACGGTGCTGGCAGCGAAGGCGAAAGAGCTGGCGGGGGGGGGGCTGACCTTTTTCCAGCCCCCGCGCTGGGCTGCCGGCCGTTATCTGCTTTTGTCGGCGGGTGAGCTGCCGTAGAGTCGGGCGGCTTTGCGGCAGATGAGCCTGAACCAGTAGAGCTGGGGGGCGATGAGGGAGGCGTTGGCTATGTTGCAGTGCAGGGGGATGCGGAAAGGCACCATGTAAATGGGGATTCCCACCTGCCTGGCGTAGGCCGCGTACATGAAGGGGAAGAGGAGAATACGGCAGAGGAAGAAGGTCACCAGGATGATGATCCCGTTCACCTTGTGCAGGAGCGTGTCCTGCATTTCCAGCTGGGGGAGGAAGAAAGGCGAGCGTGGGGTGGGCGGTGGGTGAGCAGCGTCCCATTGCTCCTCGGGCACCGACTGTGCTGGGAGCATGGGGATGAGCACCCAGGAGGTACGGGTGAGGGGGAGCATTTTGGAGGGGGCTGGAAAGTGGCGTGGGAAGGGATGGAGAAAGGCAGGGAGAAGGGAGGCGTGGGGGGCAGAGGGCTGGGGCAGGAGGGACCGTGGTGCAGGGAGAAGTACAGACAGGAGAGGGCAGCACTAGGACAGGGCACAGCCCCCAGTTTGGGGATGCCACTGGGCATGCTGCTTACTGGGGGAAAGGGATGGGAACCTAACGGGAGGCTGGGAGGAAGGCAGCACTGTGGGGGAGCTTGGGGTTACAGCTGTGGGGCTGCCCCCCCCCCAAGACCCCCAGCCCAGCTGCTGCGTGAACAGGGGCTGATGGAGAAGGGCAGGGAAAGGGTACGAACTGCTGTGGGGTTCCCAGCCCTGAGCCCCGTCCCTCCTCACCTACCTGCATGAGGATTTTGCCCAGCGATACGAATGGTGTGCTCAGCTCTGCTATGAAGATGCAGCCCACGAAGAAGTCCCCCAGCTCTCCCCTGAAGTGCTGCAAACAAAGCCAGCAGTGAGCGTGAGGCCTTCGCGGAGAGGTGGCCGGGAGCTCACCCCGAGCATCTCCAGGGGGTCACGGGCTCCCCGACCAGCAAAGATGCTTTGCCAGACACAGCCTCGATCGCAAGCCCTCGAAGCCACGCGGGGTTCCTCGCGAGGGTGGGCTTCACAGCAGCCGTGCCCGGCCCTTACCTGGGTGATGGGGGTGAGCACGATGAGGATGAAGAGGTGGTGTGTCACCATCAGCCGCTCCTGCAGGAGGAAGCTCCACACGCTGGCCAGCGAATGCTTCTTCTCCGCGATTCCCCTGTCCCGGCTCTTGTGCCAGTGGCAGAGGTACATGACGTAAATGTCGTAGGTCATGTAGGGAACGAGGACCCAGATGTACTCCACGGCCAGCCAGTGCCTAAGGGAGGAGCAGCACACGCAGAGGCATCGCAACGGCTCCGAGCGCCTCGCGATGCTCTAAAAGGTGGAAGAGAGCCTTTAGGTCTGAAATGGAAGCGGCGGGTTTTGAAGCTGATGGTAAGCGGGGAGGTGTCGAAATTTAACTCGATTTGGCTCAGCAGAGAAAAGGTACCTGGTACGCGCGGAGGACGCCTTCTCGGCGCGGCCCCCGCTTCGCGCTCAGCCGTGCCAGGCACCGAGCTCGGCCCAGCCAAGCACAAACACGGCGCTAACGAGAGGATCTTGATTAGCCCTACAGCCGGGTGTTTGCCGTGCGGGCTGGGGGCACAGCACCGCTCGGGATCCAGCACTAATCCAACACCTCTGCAGCAGGTAATCTTCTCCCCTAAGCCCTGGGACACCCAGAGCTGATGCTTGGTAGCAGAAAAGCTCCAAGACTGTGTCCTTTCTGCCTGCCACGCTGCTTCGGCTGGCTGCCTAACCCAGGCAGCAGTTGGAAAGCACCTGGCGATCTCAGAGTTAATGAGAGATGCCTGGCCTGGACTTGGGAGAGTGAAGTGCAAAATATCTAATATAGGCAATAAACCCCCGCGAGACGTTTGTCTGTTGGGAAATAATTGCAGGCAGCTGCCTGTTCCCAAAGCATGTCAGAATCCTGGTTGCACAATCCAGGCAGCAGCAAGCCCTGCTCTGCAGGGAGATTGGGCTCCTTAAAAAGTCCTGAGTGAAATCACACCAATTAAAAAAAAAACAACAAAACCCACCCTACGCTGCTGCTTAAAGAAATGTAGCTTGGGGCCCAAAAAAATCTGCTTTTGCTCTCCTGCCATCTCAAGAAAAAATTTGTTGCATGCGTTCCTGTTCCAGACAGAAAGATGTAAGTGATGTAAAGCAGGGAGGGGAAGTGACCAGCTATTGTGTTTGCAAAAATTGCCCAGGGCTTTGGAGGGCAATTATAGTGCCAGCAATAAAATGATTGTCTGCCTGTGTAAATAAATTGGCAAATTTTACTGCAACCTTTGTGATGCTTCCCGGCTCTCTGTCTTGCTGTCATTCTCCAAGGCCTTCCCTGCTGAGCACTGGGCTGTATTTCCTCCAGATTGAAAGAAAATCTAGGTCTCTGACCACAAAGTGTTCGCACGGAGCTGCCGGTGTTGAGAGCACCCGGGCAAGCGCACAGCTCCGGGGAGAAGGAGGGCTGCTGGCAGCACCTTCCGTCCGTGTGGGTCTGGGATTTATCACCCGCCCTATCTACACAGCAGATGTTTTATTTTAGAGCAAAAAGGTAACTCATTAGACTGCCTGTGTTGAGCAGGACCGAGCAATTTGGATAGATCTCACTATCTAGAGCAAGGTAGGACATTTCACATCTGTGTATTAAAGGCAAGTCTGCCATGACCGAGAGGGCAGCCCTCCCTAGACATCACCCTAAAATCTGGTGTGTGATGGTCAAATTCCAGCCCAGCATAATTATAGCCTTCCCTCCTACAATTTTCTCTGCTATTCTGGATAATAGCTCTGTTTTTAATTCTTCTGACCCAGATTGTGCTATCACTCCTGTCGAGAGCCACTTCTGGGGCAGTTTATCTCGGAGCATTGAGGACAAGGCGATGTGATTTTCTTTCAGAGCAAACTCCATACTGATCTTCTCATTTCTGTACTCCAGAATCCATTTGGCACAGTGAAGGTGATGCACCTCTAAAATCAGATCTCACTAGGTCTGCTTGACTCGTGAGCAATTTCAGCTTCCAGCAAGGAGACTCCCTACCCCTTTAGAAGCGATGATGTCTTTATTTTTTTGCTCATCTATGGTCCCATGTTACAGCCCATCCTGAGGACGAGACCCTCTGTGCTGGCAGATCGGCCCCAGGTCTGAGCGCACTGAACAAACCAGCGCCTTTCCAGGGGGTGTACGGCCAGCGCCGTTGCCCAACCCTTCACCCAAAGGGGAGGAAAGAGGAACATGAAACTGGTTTTCCTCTCCCCTTTGTACGTGCAAGCCTTTGGCATAAAATATTCCAGCAGCGAGGTGGCCGGGCACAGCCTCCGCGTGCTCCTCGCCTGGGCACTGGATTACCTGTCGTACACCACGTCCTTGCAGTTAAGGACAACCGTGATCCCCGACACCGTTGCCATCGTGGCTTGGACCGTCGACACCAACCTGAAACCGAGAAGAGAAGAAACGGGTCACCCCAAATGTCACCCCAGAAGGGCCGAGGACCAGGGCTGCTGGCCGCGGCCCGGTTGCACCAGGAGAGCCGGTAGCACTTGGACGCCTACTCCGTGCACACCCCGAAAACCTTGTCAGGGCGAGGAGGAGCTCAGCCCCCCGCGCCCGGCGCTCCCCGGGACGTGGCCGGGGTGGCCGTACCGGTGAAGACGGCGGGGGCTCGTTTCCAGGTCTCGTCCCTTCCACCCCCGTGGATCACCGGTAACCCCGGCCCGTTGGTTCCCCGTGGGCAGAGCTACCGGTCCCTGCTCCCCTCGTGGGGTCTGGGCTCGGGACTCCTGGGGTCAGGGCACCCCCCTCCTCCCGGGTACCGGCTCCCAGCCGCCGGGGCTCGGTGCTTTTGGGCCGTCCGGATCGCTCCGGCTCCCGTTACCGATCCCAGCCCGCCGTGAATGGGGTAACCGGTGGCGGAACGCCTCCCGCCGGTCCCGCCCGTACCTGCCGCTGAGGAGGATGCGGTCCTTGAGGCTCCATCCCGGGGCGGCCCAGCGCAGCAACCGGATGCAGAGGGCGAAGAGCCCCGGGAAGAAGGCGGAGGCGAGGGCCAGCGTTCGCCACATGGGGACGATCGTCGCCGCGTTCCCTCCCGCCGCCGCTTGTCAACAGCAGGCCG